GTTTATCTGCAGTTAGTTACACGAATTTAGTTATGGGATGAAATCGGATAGGGATGAAATTGTTTAGGGATGAACGAGTTTAAGAGTTTAAGAGTTTTTAAGAGTTTTAGCCAAATGCTTTATAATATAGTATAGATATATATATATATATATATATATATATATATATAAAATAATAATGATAATTAATATAATATATTATTTAATTGATTTGACATTTAATAGATTTTAAATATGACACAAATTTTTAAGCATTCAACACCCTCGTTAAAAGTGTCTCATTAGCATTCTCCTATGTATATCAATTTAACATTTTCTTAGAAAATAATATACGAATACGAAGAGGTGATTGATAATAGGTGGTGTTGAAGTCTTATTTCATTTGTGATTGATAAGAGGTGGTGTTAAAGTCTGAAGCTTTATTTCACTTATGATTGATAAAAGGTGGTATTAAATTCTGAAATGTCAATCAATAAGACTGTTTATTTTTGTAAACTAATATATATAAATTGACATTTGAAATAGTAGGACGAGTGGAAAACAGATTTACCAATAGAAATGTTAATCGTCTATATTGTTATTGATGATGTTAAGTATGTAATCTTGGTGATTTTAGTATATCAACTACTTTGGTGTAATTGTAATTTATCTGAGACAAATCAAAGTGATAAAGCAAGCAAAGTGAGTTAGGAGGTGCGAAGTGCATGCTCACAAATGTTGTCACTATAATCTTAGAGCATTTTCAATAGCTATGTTATAATTTTCTAAAATAGAGTACGAAAAATAAAAAATCTCTAAAAAAAGTAAATCTAACTCCAACAACTATACTATCTTAGTTATTCTAGCATTAACTATATTATTAAAATATTTAATACATTAAATAAAAATAATTATTTATCTCTCGTAAACATTTATTTTCAATAGATCTTATTGGTGGGAAAGAAATAAAATAACATTTCACTCTCTTATAAAGAGTTTTTAGAGATTTCTCTAAATTTAAATATTTTTATATTCTCTCTATACTTTTTTCTATTTTATACTACCATATAGCGTAGCTGTTAGAGCACATATCTCCCCTAAATAATCAAAAATATTATTATAGAATAACTGTTGGAGATGCTCTTAGATTGCCACTAGGCATGGAATGGGGCAGACATGAATCCCCATCCCCGATCCCTCATCTTTGTTTCCATTCCCACCCGCCAGAAATATGATCACAACCTCATCCACATCCCCAATGAGGAAACGATGATTTTTTCCATGTTTATTTAAGCTATTTTAGATCAAATATATGAGACAACACACATGTTTAAATTTTCATTAAACATAAAATCAAAAATAATTTAATTTAATACAAAAAGAAATCACAACATCGTATGATAATTAATAAACTAGCCAAAAGAAATTCAAATTTGCAAAAAAAAAAAAAAAAAAAAAAAAAAAATTAACATCATACGTACCAAAACATATCGAGTAATATCTAGAATATATCGAATAATTGTAATTTAACACATCCAAAACATTACATATTAACATAAA